AAAGAAATAAAAAGAAATACAAAGTTGTTTGGCGTCTTGTGTATCATGATCACCAACTATACAAGACCAATTACTTACCCTCAATTGATGTCTCAGGGTGTGATTCTATAGATAAGCATTTTAATGTAAACCTTAACTATCAAAGTTTTAGATATAATTATATTTATATTAGCAAATGTCATAATTATGCCGGCTGTTGATTTTTCTTCACCAGTTAACTTTAGATAATTTACCTTTTGAAACTAATTTTCCTTCATTCTTCTTGAGATAAATTCTCCCATGAGTAGGAAAAGTAACTCCTACATTTTTGATTAACTGTCTTTCTTTCATAAAGAAATTTAATTCTGTTTTTCTTAAAGAGGAAAAATAAACTTTGTTTTTATATTCAAAACTGAAATAATGGATTATTGCCAGGTAACCATAGTGACAAAGTAGTTACTTACCACAGTAGATGGATTTTGAGAATAAAAAACTATATTAGTATTAAATATGGGCTGATAATTAATTGTGGGTTTAGCACATTAATCACCATCATAAGTATTTGATTTTCTGATATCTTTTGAATTCTCCCAGTGATGATTGAAGGCATATCTTGTAACATATGAGTTAGTGAAAAAGCACTTCCAGTGATTATGTGGGGATGTGTGTTGTATGTAAGTTTACCAGGATATTAGAAATGGGCTGTATTTATTGATGAAAGGCTGTTCTGCCTCTGAATGTATTGGGCTTTGTAGGCCATCGTAATTCTTGCCAAAGTTTCATCATACTGTAACTCATTTATCATTTCCACCACCATCTCCCTTTTCTCCTTTATTGCAGATGCTGCTCTTATGTGGGTCGGCGTGGAAATGGGCCTCAGGCAATCTCTATTGGCAAGAACTGTGATAAATTTGGAATTGTTGTTCATGAATTGGGCCATGTGATAGGCTTTTGGCATGAACACACACGACCAGATCGAGATAACCATGTCACTATCATAAGAGAAAACATCCAGCCAGGTGAGAGGCTTTAGAATATGTTGGGTTTAAGGTTGACAGAATATCTTTTAGTTGTGTTTACAGTATTTATTTAAGTTTTTCTTAAAAAAATGTGAACTGATTTTTTTCGATATGGTAGAATCAGCATTTTGCTTATAAAAAAAAATACCCATGATGGTATTATATTTTTAATTTGTTTTCCTCCAGACTGGATGATCTTAGGTACTTTTTATGCTTGATCTTTTTTCTTAAGGTTTAGCTGTTTTATTTCTAAACTTCTGTGCTTTCCAAGAATGGGTGTAGGCTATTGAACCACAAATTGATAGTATTAAATTTTTTACAGCATTTTTAATACTTAGCTCGATACTTTATGTGGTAGGGATGTAGAAAAGATCCCAGGTTTGACATGAAATGTGCTGCTACCATAGAAATGTGTATTATACCAGGGACAATTTTTGGAGAAAATTTCAGGGAAATGAGTCATTTCTGGTATAGTCTAAATAGTTTCTTTGAGAATTCTCCTTCAACTACCCTGAAGATAAATTCTTAAGAATTTTTTCAGTAGTTGAAATATCAGATATAATTAAAATTTAATTTTCTCTGATAGTTGATGTGTGATAATAACCTTATTTTAAAGCTTTTTATTTAACTTTCATAAATTCTTAAAGATCAGTACATTTCAATTACCAAAAGATGAATTCTGTTTTTTGGAATCATCTTATAAGGTCATATGTATTTCAAGCATTAGAAAAGTAAATATTTGTCCTTATTTCTTTATTCATGGCAAGTTTTAAGTTACAAACATTGAATTCCTTAGAATTTCTTGTAATTAATGGTATTGATCTATGTATTTGCTCATCACATGCTTGGTTCTAATTATTTATTGAGGCATTGTTAGATGTTGAAAATGCTGTGATGAAAAATATAAGGCTTAATGTGGGGTATGTGCGTATATATACATGATTGTAAGTGGGTGAGAAGAGTAATTATAGTCATATGATGAGAATATCATAAAGTCCAAGCAACATGTAACAAAATGCCTTGGTGAGTCAAGGGAGATGTCACAAAGGGACTGAAATTTGGAAGTAAAGTAGAAGTGTTGAAAGTGCACCAAAGAGTTATAGAATTTTAAGCTGTAAAAAAATCATGATCATAGCTATAATTATAGAAAATCAAATCATTTTTATTTTCCCATTATGGCTACATGGTATGTTGCAAATGGGAGATGAGTTGGTAATTACCTAATGAGGTAACATCATAGGGGATATTCTATGTGAAGCTAGGGAACTTAGATTTTATCTTTTTTTTTAAATATTTATTCATATTTGAGAGAGAGAGAGGGAGAGACAGAGTGTGAGTGGGGGGAGGGGCAGAGAGAGAGACACACACAGAATCTGAAGCAGGCTCCAGGCTCTGAGCTGTCAGCACAGGGACTGATGCAGGGCTTGAACTCTTGACCTGAGCCGAAGCCTGGCGATTAACCAACTGAGCAACCCAGGTGCCCCAGATTTTATCTTTTAGCTACTGAGAATAATTGATGATTGAAAGCAGAACAAGTTCTGATTTTTAAAAAAAAAGATAAAAAAAAAAAAGAATTCTTTCGGCTTTGAGATCCTTAACTGAGGATGGGAAAGTTGAGGTGGGGAGGATGAACTTAAGTTAAGGAAACCTATAAGAAGATTAAATAAGTAACTTATAAGAGATGACTAAGTCTTCAGTCAAGGAAGTGCAGTTCAAGAAGAATAAGAGGCAATGACCTTTCAAATATATTTTAAGAGGAACACTAACATAGGAAGGAAAATCTTCAAGGATTTATTTTTAGGCAACAGGATGAATGGTGACATCATCAAATGAAGGAAGAAATATGGATAAAGCAACATAATTTTTAGAGTGAGAAAGACAGATAATGATTTTATTTAGCAAATCCTTGATTTTGAGAAGCCATTGGATTATCCAAATGGAAGTGGTTAGTACACAAAGGAAAAGTGAGTCTAAACTTCAGCCTGTATCTAGAGAAGGAAATTTGATGGTAGATTTGACTGTCTAGGGAAATATTGAAGGGAGAGGAAAATACACCTGAGGATAGAAAGTAGGAGATGGCAAAAAATCCCCCCAAAGACCAATAAGGTTTGGTCTAAAAGGTAGAAGAAAAATCATTGAATATGATGTTCTAAGGAAGAGGTCATTTCAAGACTGATAAAGTAGGAGAAGAGGAGAGGGTGGTTCCAGATGGCAGTCTAAGAATATCCTGAACTCACTTCCTGCCATGGACACAACAAACTACAGCTATGCGTGGAATACTTTCTCTGAAAATATCTTGATAACTAGATGAACAGGGCCTCTCCAACAAAGGATTAAAGACCCACATGGAGAGAGGGTAGGAGAGGTGGAGACATACCTGCCGCCAAAAAATCCAGTTCTAGGCCTGATGACCCCTAATCAGATGAGATCTCAAAAGTACAGCACTTCCCCCTGTGGAGCAAGGGGTTTGGGCCCTACATCAGACACCTCAACCTTTGGGTCCTGCACGGGAAAGATGAGCCCCCCAAACATAAAACCATGAGGGATTGTATCCAGGAGAAGAATAGAACTGGAAGGAACGGAGAACCTGCCTTTAAGGGGCTCACATGCAGACTCACGCACCCTATGACTCAGTGCAAAAACAGCAGCTTGAAAAGCACCTAGTCCTTATGTGAAGCAGACCCAATGACTAATCCTAAAGTGACCACTAGACAGGAAGGAATGTGTTGGGACTCTCCAGGGACAGAAGGAGTGGTAGGTGCCATTTTTTTCAACCTCTTTCCCCTTGCTAATGCCGACACTGGTGGGTGCCATTTTAGCAATGTCTGCCTAACCTGCTTGCGCAGGTAGGCGCAGACCCCCTCACTGTGCCTCAGCTATGCCACAGCCAGCTGGGAGAGCACCCTTCCCCACACTAGAACCACGTCACAGTCAGCCAGACAAGAGGCTTTCCCTCCCAAAGCACAGATCTACCACAGCTAGGCAAATGCCCTACCCCTCCTGTGCCATAGCCATATCACAGCCGGGCAAGCACCTCACAGCCATGGTTGTGGCTCTGCCACCGCTGGTGGGTGCATGTACCCCACACAGGGGATACCTTGGAGTGTCTGGCTCTGGTAGCCAAGGGGATTTTGTTCCTGGGCCTCATGGGTCATCTTCTACACAAAGCCCATTCTTCGAGACTGGGAGATGTAGCTGTTCTGCCTCATACACGGGAACAAATACAGAAGAGGCAAAATGAGACAGGGGAGTATATTTCAAATGAAAGACAAGACAAAACCTCAGATAATGATCTTAATGAAACAGAGATACATAGTCTACCTGATAAAAAGTTCAAAGTAATGGCCAGAACGTTGCTCACTTCACCAGGGAGAAGAATGGATGAATACAATGAGAACTTAAACAAAGAAAATATGAGAAAGTACCAAATAGAAGTTACAGGGTTGAAGAATACAATAATGGATGAAAAATACACTAAAGGGGTTCAACAATAGAGTGGATAAAGCAGAAGAATGGATCAGAGAAGTGAAAGGCAAAGCAATGGAACTCACTTAGAGTAGCAAAACGAAAAAAGAATTTAAAAAGGTGGAATATCTTGAGGGACTTATGGGACAACATTAATTAGAATAGTATCTGCATATAGGAGTCCCAGAAAGAGAAGAGAGTGAAAGGAACAGAAAGGTTACCTGAAGAAATCATGGCTGAAAACTTCCCTAATCTGGGGATGGAAACAGACATCCAGCTCCAGGAAGCCCATAGAGTTTCAAATAAGATGAACCCAAAGAGGTCCACACCAAGACACCTTCTAATTAAAACATCAAAAGTTAAATACAAAGAGATAATCTTAAAAGTAGCAAGGGAAAAAGCTTACATACAAGGGAAATCCCATAAAGCCATCAGCAGAATTTTTAGAAGAAACTTTAGCAGAACAGAAGAGAGTGGCATGACCTATTCAAAATACTGAAAGGAGTGGGGGGGGGGGGCGGGAAACCTTCCAACCAAGAATATTCTACCAAGCAAAGTTATCATTCAGAATTGAAGGAGAGAGAGTTTTCCAGACAAACAAAACTTTAAAGGAATCCATAACCATTAAGCCAGACTTACAAGAAACTGTAAAAGGACTTCTTTTTTAAATTGTTTTAATGTTTATTTATTTTTGAGAGAGAGGGAGAGAAACAGAGCATGAATGGAGGAGGGCAGAGAGACAGAGAGACACAGAATCCAAAGCAGGCTCCAGGTTCTGAGCTGTTAGCACAGAGCCTGACGTGGTGCTTGAACTCACAAACCGTGAGAACATGACCTGAGCTGAAGTCAGACACTTAACTGACTGAGCCATCCAAGTACCCCTAAAAGGACTTCTTTTTTTTTTTTTTTTTTTTAATTTTTTTTTCAACGTTTTTTATTTATTTTTGGGACAGAGAGAAACAGAGCATGAACGGGGGAGGGGCAGAGAGAGAGGGAGACACAGCATCGGAAACAGGCTCCAGGCTCCGAGCCATCAGCCCAGAGCCTGACGCGGGGCTCGAACTCACGGACCGCGAGATCGTGACCTGGCTGAAGTCGGCCGCTTAACCGACTGCGCCACCCAGGCGCCCCTAAAAGGACTTCTTTAAATAGAAAAGTACTGACAGTAATTAATGACAATAAAACATAAAAAGTAAAAATGTCACTGGGAAAAGAAAATGTATAGTAAAGGTAACAGGTTAATAACTGATAAAGATAGGTCAAAAGAAAAAGATAGATTAACTATAATAATCAGTTCAAAGGTACATAAAATAAAAAGATTGAAAATGTGATATCAAAAGCAAAACATGGGCAGGGGGGAGTAAGAATGTAGTTTTGGAATGTATTCAAATTTAAGTTGCTATCAACTTAAAATAGACTGTTATATACATAGGATGTTATATGTGAATCTGACAGTAACCATAAGCAAACACTTATAGTGAATACCCAAAAGAAAATGAGAAAGGAATCTAAATATAACACTAAGGAAAGGTATC